GGGTCAGAAAAAAAGGATAGTGTACGAAAAAAGAATGAGTAAGAGACTGTGTCCTCATTCCATACGTTAGTTTTTGTCAATGCAACGGAGCAAAAAAAAAAATTGGCTGAAAAATTTTCTAGTGATAGTATTGTAATTTCTTATATACAATAATTTTTTTTTAGTTTTTATGGCAAGTAGCATATCAATGTATCTGTCATTGAATGAGGAATGTTGTACTGCAAACATTAATAAGATAATTACAAATATAAAAAAGTTATTAGACTTTAAGTACAACACTGTGGAAAAAAAAATTACAAAAAAAAATAAAAAAATTTTAAGCTCAACTTACGGTTATGGAAATCCATAAATATTAATCCCAAGAAGCTGATTTTTACACAATATTTACCAGAATATGTTTGTAAGACAATAGGAAAGTTTCATTGAAATAGAACAAGAAATAAAAAAGTTATGAGTTTTTTTGTCCACACACCTGAATTTGTTTACACATTTTCTAAGGACAACTGAACTTTTTACACTATAGTAGTATACGACATGTGAGAAAAAACGTTTAACAGCCAACTAAGTTTTTGCCCTTCATAAAAGGATTTGAAGCATCCTTTAGGATGTGTAATAGAACTACTTCTGTTTCATGCTTTTAAATGGATTCTGATCTAAATCTAAAGCAGGTTCCTTCCTTGTTTTGCTAGACTTAGACTCAGAGACACAGTCTCGGAGACTGTCAAGTTCTAGATCTAGATCTAAAATATCACTACTTTACTATCACTAGATCTATCAGAATAAATAGAATCACCAGCCGTTATAAATCTGTATATACTATCCTTACGTCTGGAGCTATCACTGAAAGAAGCCATTGAATCAGCTGTTTTTGTTGTCACCAATTTTTAAGTCAAAAACTGTAACACAGTGTAGTAGAGTGTCTATAACAAAATCAAAAACTGTACTATAAATAAACCAAAACAACGTAAAGCAGGGGTTCTCAACATTTGGGTCGCGACCACTTTGGGGGTCGATTGACGATTTGCCAGGGGTCGCCTAAGACCATCGAAAAAATGAATTGTTTATGTCCATTTTTCTATTGCTGTGTGTGTATACGGAGGGGGGGGGGGTCGCGGCGGAAGGGGGGGGTTGTAAAAAGGGGTCACCGAGCCTAAGAGGTTGAGAACCGCTGACATAAAGGAAGTTGAACCTCTTCTGAATAGAAGTAATGGAAAGTATTTAAAATAAAAATACTTTAAAAAGTAGAAATACTCATTAAAAGAAACAATATATGCTTGGCGCAGCATGCGGCAATACGTAGTCTAGCGAAATCGCCTTGGCGCACTGTACGGCTATACGTATCGAATGAGGTATGTATTTGTGACAATACGTTACTGTCAGGCAATGTGACAATAAGTTACTGACAGGTAGTGAGACACGTGACTCAATGAAGGAACTAAAAAGAAACAATTGTTTGAGTGTGTATGTGTGTTTGTTTGTGAGGCATGACGAAAGGAGAGAATGTAAGTGTGCAAGTGTGTGTGTGCTGTATAGTGAGGCTCGTCTAAAGAGCTCAGGAAGGTCTCCTGAAGAGCTAAAGACGTGGCTGGCATGAAAGGCTCACACCATAGGGGTGTAATTAAAAGTATGAGAGAAAGAGAGAAATTTAGTCAGCATGGGTATGCGAGTGTGTGTGAGTGTTAGAGGGAAAGAAAAACGGTGTGTATGACAGAGAGAGAAAGAGAGACAGAGAGAGAATGAGAGAGCATATAATTAGTCCAGATATCGGCACTACTGGAATCAAATGGTGGAATGAGATACCAGGCCCAAACACTAACACCCAAACTCACCCCCTCTAACAGAACGTGAGATGTAGTTGACTTTAAATTGAGATCTATTTTCTTACGCCAGATATCCAACATTTTTTTTTTCTGATATTAAAAAAAAAACATTTATATTTGTATCATTATATTGTTTCGCATTATTTGAAACATTTATTTACGGCTTCCACATTTTTAAATTATTATTATTATTATAGCTTTTATATTGCGCTACTTTCATGCTTATAGCATGCTCAGAGTGCTTTGGTCCAATCTTATTTGTGGACCAGTGGGAGGGGGGGAAGGGGTATCTAGGAGTTGGTTTTCCGTGCTGCCTTTAGGCGCTCAGTAAACGCAACTCCGCCCGAGTCGGATGTCGAACCTTGAGCCCCCTTCTAGGTAGCCAAGACAAGCCAAGTTCAAGCGCCTTAGCCTCTCGACCACACTTTCCACCAAATTCATTAGATCTATTGAATATTTTCAAACAGGGATCAAATCAATGTTACAAGTCTAAACTGCATACTGTTTGCGACTTCGTTTTCAGACCTTCTTGGTCAAATTGACCAAGAGCACGCATTTTGGTGTATCCGGTGCACAAAATACTCACTCATTGATATGCGAAGTATTTTAATAAACCATGTAATAATTGGTGTACATTTTCTAGCAGTTTAGGAGATTTTCATAAACCGGAGGCAATTCCTTAACTATCAATCTTTTTGGTGTATCCGGTGTACGAAACCGGAAGTATTGACAATTTATTTATTTTAAAAACAATGTTATTGTGTTTCAGCAATTTTTTTAGCACTGATGTACCAATAAAATGAACATTTAAACAAGAAGGCTGTTAATAACCTTCAGTATAATAGTAGAAACAAATTTATAAGCTCTTTTAATTGTAGCGTAAAGTAATCTTGATTCGTTAGTTGGCAATAATCCACTTTCCATTTGGCGTTTCTTGATATTGTTTTGTCTATTTCCAAATCTGTCCCAATCTTCCTTTTTTAATTTTTTAAGGCTCCATTATATAACCGCCACATTTCTTCACGTCTTTTCCACTTCTTTTCCTAACTTTTACTTGAAAAAGGTTAAGGGGATCTTGAAATATAAAAGTGTAAACAAACATTTTGTTGATTTGTTTTTAAACAAGTTTAAAGTCTTCTGCTTCCATCATATAGCCAGGAGAACCATCGACTGAGCAGAGTTAAAGTCAGTGATTAACATTCATGATTACATAGGACGTAGGTATCTTCTTTTTTGAAGTAACGTCTGTAATCTATAAGATACATTGAAGTGTGAGTGTGTATGTGTTTCTTGTGCGAATTTTGTTCGTATTTGCATCTTTATTGCAATTGTTACAGTAATTACGCTGAGGGGGTCACTTGTAGTCAAACTAAATTTCTATTTGGCTGGACTTATCTTTTCTTAGCTTATCTCATAAGAGTGGCGGTGGCTGAGCTGTACAGCGCTTGGCTTCCGAACCGGGGGTCCCGGGATCGAATCCTGGGATTTTTAATGTCGGGATCTTCGGGGCGCCTAGGAGTTCACCCAGCTCTTACGGGTGAACTGACATTTGTTGTGGAAAATTAAAGGCTGTTGGTTGTTGTGCTGGCCACATAACACCCTCGTTAACCGTGGGCCACAGAAACTGATGATCCCTACATCATCTGCCCTATAGATCACAAGGTCTGAAAGAGGAGATTTACTTTTACTGTTAATATTTTGTGCTTGTAAGACTTATATAACATATTTGATAAAATCTGAATGTCATGGGTAAATAAATGATTAAAAACCTACTGTCTATTTGCTCTCTACCCTAAGAACGCAAGCCTGGCAAACAGTTCAATGCGATCTATGCATGGGATTCTTTTCTGTCTTTAGTTAATCTCAGCCATTCCCTCTGTAACACGCAGGGTCTCTATATCTGCGTTGTTAATCAGATCGTATAGCTAGCTGATGCTATCTGATTTATTTTCCTTATAAATCGTTGTTTATTGTGGTTCTGTGTACACTAAGCTCATACAACACAAGATGGTCGTGCGCATACTGAAGACCACAGTGAACGTCCAGAGTTCAAAGTCGGTAAAGAAAGTCATTCGTTAGAAAAAGATTAAGTTTTCAAATGACATTATTATCATAACAACATGACCTAATTCATATAACAGCATGACCTGTTTTGTAAAATGTTTTGTAAAATGTTTTACATGTTTTGGATGTTCCTTCAGAGTTGAAGATAGTTTACTTCCTAGTCCAAACCTCTCCCAGGACGAAGGGGGATGGGAGCGGGCAGGATTTGAACCCTCGACCATCGATAAATCCGAACGACAGTCCAGCGCGCGAACCGCACGACCAGGCAGCTACATAACAACATGACCTTAGTCATATAACAACATGACCTAGGACACTTAACAACATGATCTAAGTCACTTAGCAGCATGACCTTAGTAATAAAACAACATGACCTACGTCACTTAACAATATGACCTGCATCCTTAGCAACATGACCTACGTCACTTAACCACATGGCCTTAGCCACAAATCCTCACACATGTGAACCAAACAATGTCTCGGCCTGTCGAAAAGCCTCAAACTTGTACACTGGTTGTCTGGTTTCCTTGGAAACACAGAAGAGCTCTATAGCTATGTCAGAGTAGGCCCACTCTTCTTTCCGTGAAGGTAAAAAACGTCTGGCAGATTTAGCCAAGTATTTTACTTATTTAGAACATCCATCTCTATCACGGCATCTAATATGATAAGACAAAGTGAGAGCTATGCAATGAAAGTCACCCAAGAGGCCTATTCGTTATGAAAGATATAAAATAGATTTCAAAGTTTGTGCTGTGCGCTCTGGACTGCTGTCTCGACGGTCATCGTTTCAAACGACCACTAGCAGCCGTCCTAAGTGAAGTTTGGGCTTGGACAAAACAGTCTTCAATTCTGAAGGAACCTTCCGAAACATGTATCACTAAAAAAATATAACTTTTTTCACGGAAAAAACAAAGGTCAAGATCTATTAAGATGGTTTAGAACTGCGACCTTTTTTTTTTTTTTTTTTTTTAACGATCAATCAAAGTAAGAAGCGATTATCAAAGCTAAAAGACAAGCAATGGGGCTCATTCTGGCCAACCACCCTGCTTACATACACACAGAAGCACAATCACGCCCACACAGACACCACACACACACTTAAGCATAAACGCTGAGCCGTGTTCTTGATACTTTATTCATAAGTCTTTATAATAGAACATACATTTTACATTTGATGGTGGAGATAATGTGATTGCTAGTTCTATGTATCTGCATCCTTGTATTGTGTTTGAACGAAAACAAATAGGGAAATTTTTTTTTCGCTCTATAGTTGAACACAATATATTTCAATAGTCAATTATAAACTACCACCGGTGGACAATGGTCATGCGTGCGCTGGCAAAATATGCAGGTCACAGCTGGGGCTGCATAGCCACGGAAATACTGCATTCCTCATTAATATTTTAGGACATACCTTGCTTGCGAAATTAAGTACATTGGACATTGCAAAATGAAGTAAGTGGGATTTTTTATAAATGGAAGTCTGTTGTGTAACCGGTGTACAAGAAATTGAATTATTGAGAAGCGGTAATTGGAAAAAAAAATTGTTTTCATTTTTTTCAACTGGTGAACATTAGATGTCCAGTGTTACAGAATTACACATTACAAAAACCACGTTTTTTTTTTTTAAGAAGGAAGAATTGGTTCTTGAGCTGGTTCATGTGGCTCACAATATGTCGCAAATGTACACTTCCTTCAAATCGCATTTTACGACATCATTTTTTTTTTCTGTTTAAAATGTGGACTTTGTGAGAATTAGGTCAGAGGTTTAACAACATGTGTTGATGAAATATCTTACAGGTCTAGAACTAAAAGAGCTACAAAGATATTTAATAGACTAGTTTTCTAGCAGGTATTTCAGACAGGGAGAAGTTATCTGATCAAAAAACAGATGTCATTTAAAAAAAGAAGACAATTACGTCACATCCCGCGGATGTCCCTAGGCCAATCTAGTCATGTATGTTAAGCGATGACTTAAACTCTGTCAAATCAATCATTTTCCAGGCTGACTCAGGCAACACATTCCATGCTCTCAAAGCACCAGGGAAGAAAGAGTATTTGCACAAATTTGTCCTAGTATATGGAACAAGGAATGTTGAATATTATAGTTCTTTTGTGATAAAGAAGAAGGCAGGTTGCCTCTTTCAAAACACTAGAGGACGCAAGTCTTGATAACTGAGGACAGTTCTGGAAATTTTTATTTGTTTTCAGTGCCTGAGAAGAACGGGAAAAAAATGCTGTTAATGGTCTACACAGTTCTATCAATATGAAGCTATCTATGTTTTGTTACATAGCTTCATCTTCTAGAGGTTAAAAGGTCAGTCAGAAGGTGTCACGTGAATGTGAGAACAAGACACGTGAGACTCAAAATATAAACATATAGACGAGACATGTATACACACATACACAAAGCAGACATAAGTCTTAGTCTTAAACAATGTTCTAATAAACTTATATTCCACACACACAGACCTCCTACAGACAAGGCTTCTTCACACACAAGTAAATGGCTGTAGAGCTCATAATATTCAAATGTATGACATTTTATTTACAAAATAAAAACAATGCCAGGGATTAATGAAAGAATCTATGCACACAGTTAAATGTGTTTGCTTTAGTCCTGGAATAAACACAATGACACAATGAAATGAAACGTAGTGTTCATTAGAACTCTCCAGGTCAACCTATATCCAGTCACGTGGGGTTCAGCCTCCCTGGAAAGCATCAAGTGTCCTGCGCATGCTCAAATCGATCACGTAGAGATAAAAACAAACACCTTATTGATTTCGTATCAATAACAAAGTTAATGTACTTCACTAGAGAGAGACCCTCTCTCAACGCTGTCCACGAATATTGTAACCTTGACATTGCTGTTGTCCAATTAGTTATCTCCATTTAGTTATCCAATGAGTTAAACAATGAGTTATCCAATGAGTTATCCAGTGAGTTAGAGTGTTTATCATGCTGCACACCATAGTCCACTGTCCACATCATGGATACAGAAATTCTGGTCTTGCTGGACTTCCTATCCAGTCACAGTCAACATGGACGTACACTGGCCGAGACTTGGACACTGACCTCAGCTGTCCATCCAGTAGATTACCACCTGAACAAAAAAAAAGTTATTTATTTCACATGTACAATACACACACATAAATTGTTTGAATATGTCTTAATGTAAGTAAACATTAACCTTTTTAAAGCTTATGTTTCACTGTGTTTAATAGTAACATGTTTATAAACTGACGTTTTATCTCTTAATTCTGCTATGAAATGGTGATAGTAGAAAGGGCTATTGTTCTTAGCAACTAGCATGTACATTGTCAGGATTGTAAACTACAAGAAAGTACATGGTATTCATAATATTAAGGAACCATGACCATTTTCAGCCTCTTGCGTATGGACCCCGTGTCAGTGATTTTTTTTTCATGGGTCCACAGTAGGCACAGCGTGTAATTGGACCAGATGATTATTAGGTCCAAAATATCCGTGATGTCGTATGGTCCGATTAAATGGAATCAACTGTGTGCAGAGGGACAAAACCTTCGACTTGGGAATTTGGTTGTGCTCCATTTGCATAAATGTTGAACTCTCTCGGCAGGGCCAGCCTTAGATAATTGGAGGCCCAAGGCGAAGTGAATTTGATGCCCCAAATTAATTTTTGAAAATTAAAAATAAAAAGTGAAAAAATAAAATTACGTAATTTATTTTAAACCTAGTGTACTTCAACAATAACACTGGACACAAGCTTCGCTATTTCTTCTCTAAAAAATTGTTTGAGTTCAGCCATTCTGAGGCTCTAGGCGGCCGCCTACCTTGCCTATGCCTAAGGCCGGCCCTGCTCTCGGTCCTCATTGACATTCCCTCCCAACCCTTTTACACAGCGTACCGACTTACTGTTGTGTCTGGACATCTGGTAGCTGTAGAAAGGGTCGTCTGGCATGGGAGTGAACTCTGCACACATGATGGCGTCCTCACTTCTGCTGACATATTCTTTAGCCCTGCACATGCAAAGATACAGCGTACAATAATTACAGACAAATATAGAACACAGTTTTTCAGTTTTTCGTTCCATGTACAAAACGTATGAGTGCAAAAGTATGTTATTTAAAGGTAGTCCATGAAATTTTAATTTAATGAAAAAAAAAAAGGTCTCATTAACAGTAATATAAAAATAAATAATAATAAATAATAAATAATAAGTAATAAAAAAATTTCTGGAAATAGTATTAAGAGAGTCAGGATGTTACCCCACTATTCAGAAAGGGAGCCCTAAGCATCCCTAGGAGTAAGCACCCCGAGGAGTGTCCGCGTGCAAACGTTTTCCTATCTTCTGAACTTAAGAAATTCATCCTCTAGGAGTCTCCAACGCTCTCTTTATTACAAAGCTTATATCAACTCTGTCTGTATGTCTGTCTATATAGTAAAAAGCTTGTACATGTTATTTCTCACGCACCCAATCTCAAATAAAGCTGAAGTTTCGCAAAATTATTTCTTTAACCTGACAACACAAGAATCTTATTTTTTTAAAAAATTAATCAATTAATTAATTGGTAATAAATTATGTTGTTTGTTATCTTGAACAAGGGAAAGAAATCGTACTTGACAGATGTGGTGGTATAAGTTGAATTAGTCCACTTGAGAACTCATGAGCCCTGAGCGAACAGTTTTTTTTTGTAATACATTTAAAAAACGATCACGTAAACATTCACCAAGATACCAACTTCTTCCCTTCCCCCTCCTAAACAAAATTGGTAAAAAATATTTCTATCGCACATATTTATTTATATGTCTAGGTCGGCCATGCATAGGAAAAAAAAAGACCTATCCAAACTAATTGATACTACTACACTTAAAATAAGCTTTGTTTTTTAAATGAGTATGTTTCTATTATGTCTTGATTTTTTAGAATAAGAAGAGATCCACTTTTTTTTTTTTAATTTGTATTAAAAATGGGGGTGAGACGTGCAAATACGCATGTCAAATTAAGTTTCAAACAAGGAAAATATAAAAAAATACTTTAAAAAAAACAACAAAGCTTATATAGAGGTAAGAATCGCACAATTACCGCAATATCTCTTAATACTGTAAGATTTATCTCCATTTTTTGTTATAAAACAAAATAAATTAATTACCCCTATTTGCTTAATTTTTTTTTTTTTGATTCAAGAGTTGTCTTCGACTTGATCAACGTGATCGGAGAATCGAGAAATAACGTGTACAAGATAAAGACCAGACAGACAAACAGACAGACAGATAGACGGGGTGAGTTAATATAAGCTAAGTAACAATAAAATAAAAACATAAAAATATTAACAAAAAAAAAAGCTTTTACTAAGTGTAATTGTATCAATTAGTTTATATCAGTCATGTCCCATATAAATTGACACTGACCTAAATACAAAGACACCTCCATCTCGCTTGTCACAAATAAACTTGACACTTTCTCCGCTCATTAAATGCAGTGTCGCGTTCCGCTGCCAGATTTCCAGAGACTTTGCATGCTGGTAAGTATAGTTCCACCGCCCACGTAACTCTGGGGGGAACTTGCATCCTGGGACTGTTAACAAGCATCATGAATTAGGTCATCCAAAAAATAGACACAAACAAGAGCAGATAAATATGAATAAACATAATAAATAAATATATTTAGTTCAGCAAAAGTAGGATCTAAATTTATCACGTGACACTGTGGACTTACAAATGATTAAAAAAATTAAAACTTACGATTGTTAGGTTCGGAAGGTAAGCGCTTTACCTCTAGGTAAGCATGAGTAACATCAGATTAAAACCAGCACAGTTTTTTTTTTGTTTATATATATATATATATATATATATATATATATATATATATATATATGTATATTTCACATTACAAAAGCTAGAAGGGGAACATCCAGGTGTCATGGAGTCCATAGGAGATGAGAAATGTGCTCATCTTCGATCACGAAGGAGGAGCTATATGTAAGAACATATCAGGAGGTACTTCTACACCGAGTACAATAGCATATACAACACCTGATACCGTAATTCGAAAAATACAAGAGGCTGCTATAGATCATATATTATCGGGTACTAGGGAACATAAGCTACCAAGTAATCGGGAACGTAAACTACTAGTGATGTGTTGACATAAACTAGCAGGTACTTGGGAACATAAACTATCAGGTGTTTGGGAAATCAAAACTGGTTACGAAATTATGAATATGAATATTGAATATAGAAATATTGTACTGCACATGCAAATATTACACAAATAAGAAAGATCATGAAAAGAAATGTAGTTTTGTGAACAAGGTCTTCGGGGTTTGCAAAGACCTTCCTTCAAGGAACAGTAACAAGAAAAAGAAGAAGAGGCAGAAAAAGTAATGGGAAGACATTTATGAATGGAAAGGCCTGGCATTGAAAGAGGCTCTATCCAAGACGAAAGACAGAAAAGAATGGAGAAAGAGGGTTGACAAATCTCGTGTGTTGCCCCAACGGTCCTACAGACTAAGGGATAGGTGAAGAACTATTGTACCAGAGAGAGTAAATTGATAAAAGCATTGTCAAAACAGGGGACTGACTGTGGCAATAGAAGAGTTGGAAGGCCCTATTCTCACGTGAAGCAACCTATCGCCTTCAGCTACACGCGCAAAGCAAATTTTACAACAACTTAGCAAGAAAATAAGAAGAAATGCAATTTTATGAACTATATACACTCATTAGTAATCAACAATTGTCGCATTCATTTGATTAGATAAATTCATTATGGTATCAACCAATCATACAGAAATCAGTCTTAACTTAAAGTCAAAAGTCTAAGCAAACAAAATGTAAGTGCCGCCGTCCTATAGAGTTTCCTATAGTCATTCAGGCAAGCGCCAGGTTTACACATACACACACATAGACACACACACACCCAACACAATGTCACACTTCAGAACACACGATTAGATAATTCCTGCTTTCCTTCGAAGACATTATTTAGAATTGTCAGCCCTAATGTATTTTACTCACTGAAGACAAATGTTCCAATCAATTTGTGTAGCTGTTCAAACAAAAAGAACCGACACCCAAATCTAGTTTGATTTTGTTTTTTTAAACCGATGATTGATAAATTATTAAGTACATAGAAATTGCAACCTTAAAAACATTTTAAAATACCCATAAAGACACAAAGATAAAGGCACATTTCTTATGCCTTTGCTAGGAAAAATTCATCAAAGTGCTCCTTATTCCCTAATGCCGTTAGGACATTGAATAGCTTGCTTGAATCAGCAAGAAAACCAATGACATAGTAGAGGATAAGTCTCTTATTAGCAAGCATGACTGTATTAACATATTAATAAACTTAGGATGTAAATATCTTCTGTCTGTAATGGACCTCATTCACCAACCGTAAACAAACAACATTTAGCCACGTGGTGCTCTATCTTTTCTATATAATTTACGATCTCATGTTTAATTCATGGTGGTTGTCACGTGACATTTTTTCCCGTTGTTTTATCAATAAGATCACGTGACTAAATGTTGTTTGTTTACGATTGGTGAATGAGGTCCATTGATAAGATAAGAAAAACCCAACTAAGACTAAGACTAAGACTGCTTTATTGATCCTTACGGAAATTTGTTGTGATTACAAGGACTCTTTTCTCATATAAAGACAACACAACAGAAACATACGCACACATTAACGCAACTTTCGGCTTTTACCAATCACCATTTCATTTGCTAAATACAACATCACCATTGAATTTGAAAAAAATCTATATTACCCCTTTCAAATCCTTGTGATCTACAGTATTTAGAACAAAGGAGAAGCCAGTTTCAGATCATCTAACGTTATATGTATCTTCAAAACTAAACTTATAATATATAAGGGCCTTCTCAGAAAAAAAAACAAAAAAAACATCCTGCTTTGATCCTATCCTCCCCCCCCACTTTTTTTTTCTCCAGTGGCTTTCATT